CGAAGGCTGTCACAGACAAGGCGGGGGGGGGGGGTGACTTCTATGCTCTATGTAACAAGGACAGGCCTTTCCACTCATTTTCTCATATTATGCTGCACTACAGTCTACATAGAATAAAAAGGGTCAAAGAAGCTAATGTCCAAGGCAGGACCTCTTCAGTTGTGTGCCTTTTTGAGTCTGAATTGAATTTCCAGTGTTGCCAAGTGTTCCCTGCCAGTCCCTGCACTTCTCTGTGGTTTAAATTGAACGTTCTTCTCTCTCTCTCTTCCCCCCAACCTTTTTGGTTATAGTTTTAATCATTACTTCAGCTAAAGCAGCAGCTTCCTGAGCTACGTAAATAATAATTTGATTTTACTCAATTCCTCTGGGATGTGTTTTTCTGCCTTGCAGCAAGCATGCTTGAAAGGAAGTAAGATCAGAAGTAAGTGGAACTCATGCTGGATCTCTGCGTTTAAAAATTGTCAGCCAAATGTCCTTGCAGGGGTCAATTTTTTTCACTTTGGTTGGTTGGCTCTGCCCATTTCTTGACCAGATAGGAAAATGCAAAGGGCTTGGGGAGATGGATTTTAACAGAAATGTAATTCCACCAAAGAAAGCCAAAAACTCAGGCTGAGGGAAACAGAATAAGAGTTGGAAGGGACCTTGGAGGTCTTCTAGTCCAACTCCCTGCTCAGGAAACCTGCTGTCCCACTGCTCAGGAAACCTTCTACCATTTCAGACAAATGGCTGTCAATCTCTTCTTAAAAACGTCCAGTGTTGGAGCATTCACAACTTCTGGAGGCAAGTAGTTCCACTGGTTAATTGTTCTAACTGTCAGGAAATTTCTCTTTAGTTTTAGGTTGCTTCTCTCCTTAATTATTTCCATCCATTGCTTCTTGTCCTGCCTTCAAATGCTTTGGAGACGAGGTTGACCCCCTCTTCTTTGTGGCAACCCCTGAGATTTTGGAACACTGCTATCACATCACCCCTAGTCCTTCTTTTCATCAAACTAGACATACCCAGTTCCAGCAACCGTTCTTTATATGTTTTAGCCTCCAGTCCCCTACTCATCTTTGTTGTTCTTCTCTGCACTCTTTCTAGAGTCTCAACATCTTTTTTACATCGTGGCGTCCAAAACTGAAATGTGGTCTTATCAAGGCATTATAAAGTGGTATTAACACTTCACGTGATCTTGATTCTATCCATCTATTAATGAAGCCTAGAACTGTTGGCTTTTTTTGGCAGCTGCAGCACATGGCTGGCTCATATTTAAGTGATTGTCCACTAGGACACCAAGATCCCTCTCACAGTTATTACTATTGAGTCAGATACCACCTATACTATGTGCATCTGGTTTTTTTTGCCTAAATGTAATACCTTACTTTTTTCACAATTGAATTTCATTTTCTTGGATAGCACCTAATGTTCAAGTCTATCAAGATCCTTCTGTATCTTAAGCCCATCTTCTGGAGTGTTGGCTACTCCTGCCAGCTTGGTGTCATCTGCAATTTGATGACTTCCCCATCTATCCCCTCATCCAAATTGAAGATGTTGAAGAGTACTGGACCCAAGACAGAGCCTTGGGGTACCCCACTGCATACTTCCCTCCATGTAGATGTAGTTCCATTGAGGACTACACATTGAGTGCGGTTCGTCAGCCAGTTACGAATCCATCTTTTCACGTAGTAGGTTGTGGTCTACTTTATCAAATGCCTTACTAAAGTACAAGTAAATTATATCCACAGGATTCCTGTGGTCCACTAATTTTGTCACTTTGTCAAAGAATGCACTAAGATTTGTCTGGCATGATCGGTTTTTGACAAACTCATGTTGGCTCATGGTTATGACTTTGTTTGCCTTTAAGTGTTCGCTGATTCATTGCTCGATTATCTTTTTCAGAAACTATAATCAAATCCATCCGCTTCTGGTGATTTGAACTTGTCTAGGGTGGACAGGTGCTCACTTACCATTTTTTAACCTATTTTAATTTATATTCCTAATCTGCTTTTACGGTACTGTTTTTGATAGGTTGAACTGTTTTTTCCTTTCATTTAAAGACGGATGCAAAAAATGAGTTTAGTAGTTCTGCTTTCTTCCTGTTGCTTGTCACCTTCTTGCCACTTTCTCCCATTAATGGACCAATCATTTCCTTGACTTTTTTTTTTCTATGAAAAAGTGGTAAAAGGGAGCACAAAAGAGAAAGAGGTGGAGACCAGCCCTTAGTAGGAAAGAAAAATCTTCCTGCAAGCACCAGTAAACTACATTCATTAATACTACTTGTTCATGTTAGTGTTGCTGCATTGCTAAATTAATTCCATATAAAATTGAGGACAAGCCTTATCACTTTATCCTCCTGCAGATTAATTCTGCTTTGAATCAAGAGGAGCTGAAAGCAAATTCAGTCCAGTAGCAGTCATGGGCTTACAGCTGAGAGGACTTAACCCTTGGTTGCACAAAGCATTGTTGTAACCCTGGAGGTTCTGAGTCTTGGGGGGGGGGCTTTCCCATACTGATTTTACACCATGTTGGTTCCATTCCAGAAAATAATGGGTGAGGTCAGGACAAAAATGGAAATCGATTCATCTATCTATAAAACCAGCAACATTAAATACGATAAAGTAATGCTCCTCTCTGCCTTAATAAAAGTGTGATTTAGGAACAAGGAAGTCTTCAGGGAGTCTCAGGTGGCCTTGAGTTCAAAGAGAAGGACTCTCTTCTGCTTGCCAAAAAATAAAAAATGAAAGGCAAATGTAAGCAAGCAAGAAGAGGTTTTAGACATGCAAGTATCCCTGATGAAGATCATCTTCTCGTTAGATTTATTTTGCAGTGAACTGTTCTGAATGCTATCTAGATAATTGCATTGTAAATATTGTCCTGCTAATACTGATCCAGAATAACAGAGCACAGGAGCTGTTCCAAATATCGGAGTTTACTCTTGAGCAATGCTGGGGGCAGATTTTTGGGGGGGGGGGCAGACAAAAAATATTCTTGCAACCAGCTTTGGCTCAAGGCTTTCTTCTCTGATCTCTAGATCATCTGAAAGCTCTCAAAACCCGACAAGGTCGTCATTACTGCACATAACCGGCTCGGTTGCTGCAGGAAAATTCCCTGGTTCTCACAGATAACACCTTCAGCATTGATGGTATCATCGGTATCTTTAAAACATGTTGATGTGTGTTGGCAACCCAACATTAACAGGATTCCCAGGGTGTTCAAAGAAGTGGGCGTGTCCCCCACTGACATAAGCCAGCCCACAGGATGGCTCAAGGATTTGGATCCAGGCAAGTTTTGGCCAAGATGCTGTAGCAGGCAACGGATTGCCACCCAAACCTTCCTGCTCCTTTTGGGAACCCATGGCATAATTAGTGGCTATGGGGCAAAGTAACCAACACACCGAGGCTTACTAAGATGATTTCCTAATTAACTCCAACCCCAGCAATGGGCTGAAACCAGGAGTAGGAGGGAGAGTTGGCCACTGAGCGGGGAAGCAGAGCCTTTCTCTGGCGTTCAGCAGGGAGCGGGGTATTCCGCAATATTAAATATCTCTGTAATTAACCCAGAGGAGAGTACAGATGGAAGGTATATTAATGAAATCTGCGGATGATTACTAAATTAGAAAGAACTGGAAACTCCAGATTAAGGACCGATAGTGGAAAGGAAATTATACATGAAGTGGGAAGACAAGGCAACATCAAAAGGAGGCTTCGATCTGGGCCATCCAGGGAGGAGGGAGGCAGCCGCCTGTCCCCAAACTACCCGTGTTGAGTCAAAAACTGCACCCAGATGCCTGGGGGCCACTCTGCTTCCGGAGAGATGCGGAGAAAGAAGGAGGGAAAGGGGGAAGAAGGGGTGGGAAGAGGCGCTTTCTGCCAGCAAAAAATGTTGGCCATAGGAGACTTTTAAAGATTGGAGATATTTTGCAGCCAGACGACAAGAGAGTGAAATGTGTAGCTTCTTCTGACAAGGAGCCGTTTGGGGTTTTGCTTTTTAAGTAGGCTGCATTTGCGAACACCCCCAGATGGGAAATTGGGCCCCAGAAGAGATTGCATCACACGGTTTCCCCCTCCCAAAAGATGAGACGTGGCTGGAAAATTTTAGAAGGAAGCAATCTCCAAAATGCCTGGTATGGATGCCATGTCTTCAGTTTCATAAACCATGGTTCCTAAGCCGAGAACAGAAGGTGGTTAGGGAAGATTCCCCTTGTGCCCCCTTTCTCCCTGCAGGACTGACTGGCTGCCTGTGATGAGCACAGGACATCTGGCCTGCCCTCATCCTGGACCCCTGTCGTGGTTGTGTTTCTGCTGAGGACTCAGTAGGTTGTGTCAGGGTTCCATGTAACAACCCCAAAGCAATCCAAACTCCGAGGCCTAGAGTTTCCTCAAAGCATAATTTTATTTGGGATGTCATATTGGCACAGCTGGTGAAAGCCCGACTCTGAAGGACCCAGGGTTTTCCCCGCCCAAATCAAAACCTAAAGTTCTTGCCCCCCAGGTCACATATCCATCACGTGGTCCAATCAGGTCGCAGTCCCAACTCCGGCTAGCTTTGGTCCACACTCTTCCAACACCTGGTAGAGCGTCCCAAAATCCATGGGGATTTTGGGAGCATCTTCAGGGCTACCAGGTTGTGTGGTTCAAGCAGTGGTTGCGTCCTCCTGAATCAGAGCCACCTGAGCCTATCCTCAGAGCTTTCTTTTGCAGGGAGGGAAAGAAGGGACTGATGCTGGCCTGCTTTCTAGAGTCATCTGGGCTTCTTCTGTTCCTCAGCCAACCAGTCCTGTGACCATCATCGGTTCGTGGTTCTTGTTCATATTCGTGACCATGTGACTTGACTCTGGGGTGCATGTGGTTTAGTCTGCAGGACAAACTTAAGTTCTGCAGCCTCCTGCCCTAAAAATGAGTCTAGGTGAGTTAAGGAAAGCTCTCTGGGACCTTAGAAAGGATGTGTTGCCTTTCTGTTTTTCCCCCAGCCTTCTGCTCCCTTTGCCAACTCTTTTCCTTTTCTCCCCTCTGCCTCCCCAGAATAAGCCGCCTCTTTAATGGCACAGAGCCGATAGTCTTGGACAGTTTAAAACAACACTATTTCATTGATCGAGATGGTGAAATATTCAGATACATCTTGAGCTTCTTAAGAACTTCAAAGCTGCTGCTCCCAGAGGATTTTAAGGTAAGACAGGCAAGAAACCTGTAATCTGTTTTTTTCTTATTAATTAATTGATGTTTCTTCCTTCTCTTGTCCTCTCTGTCTGTAGGGAGGGCGAAAAGAGTTTGCCATTTTCAAACTCAATGCAGAGGCTGACACCACGCTTGGTTATTGTTTGCTTAACCATGGTTTGTTCAATAAACCACAGTTGTCTGGGTTCACACAACATGCTATACCAGGAAACACAGTTTTCCAGACTATGGGATGCATTTTGTAGTGGAGAGTTGTGCCATGGGCTCTTTTCCAGAAACAAGATGGAGCCAGGATAAAAACCAGATTAAAATAGAATTAAAGTAATTACTGATAGTTAATTCCAGGTAGTTATGTATGTATTGAATGTAATGTTTCACATTGAAAAGTTATAACAAGGTGCCCACTTTTGTAGCGGTAGTGAATTCTTTGATTTTTCAAGGCAGGGAACTGGGGTCAACCACGGTCTAAAAGTCAAGATGTTGCCCACAACCACACAGCCCATGGTTTAATTAGTTTTCTTTTGTACTAGAGATGCCCTTGACTGGGATACCCTACAGCTTGTACTGAGCTGCCTCTGGCTTCAGGTGACATGTGGTTTGGTTTAGTGCAGGAGTGTCAAACTCAAGATCTGGCCTGCGGGCCCACCCTGGAAACAGCAAAGGACCAGCCTGCGGTGCCTCTGCCAGCAAAAACCGAACTCGGGAGGGCCACACGTGGCCTTCCCGGGCTCTGTTTTTGGCTGCAAGGGCCTCCTGCAGCCCTCTGCCAGTGTAAACGGAGCCAAGGAGTGATGTTGAGCTGACCACGCCCAACACACACACACACACACACACACACACACACACACACACAGGGTCAAATGCAACCCTGATGTGGCCCTCAATGAAATCGAGTTTGACACCCCTGGTTTAGTGCATTTTGTGGACGTGGTGAGCTTTCTGGACATATACTTTGAAAGGGCTGCTTCCGCATGAGCTTAGGATGGCATTGGGCATTAGAATCATGGCCTTGAAAGGGCTGCAGCAGCAGACATCCCAACAGGAGGCATGGGCAATCTGGAGAGCATTGTGCCTAGTGTCAGGTTCCAGCCAAGTGCTCCTGCAGTTCCGAAAGCTCACACTTGCCATGCACAGGTCTGCTTTGCTCCCTGCTGAACCGTTCCTGGCCAACCCAGCTCCTTTGATGCTTCCCAATGGGTGTGTTTCCCTTGCTGGGAGTGTCCCTTAACCTTGTGCTCTGCTGCGGTTATTGGAACAGGGATGGGAGTAAAGCACCCAAGTCAGAATAAGGAGTGTGCAGTGCTTGAAACCTTCTCTGGTAAGGACCCACCTCTGAGACAGCCTGCTCAACCAGGCATCCTTCAGATGAATTGGGAAAGCAGCAAGCTGGCTGGCAATCCTTGAAGCTGAAGCCCTGAACTCTCTGGAGGAGGCCAGTGTAGAGAATGTGGATCTAGCAGGGTTTTCCCCAGGGATCAGGCACCTGGGCTTATTTAATCCTTTAGCCAAAGTATTGAGGATCGATAAGAGGATGAGTTGGAAATAGCTATGGGTAGGATAGCGCTGAATGAACTACGGTTATGCGTGACCCTCAGAATTCTGGCCACCCCTGCAGCTGCAGTCACGTGATCTGAGAGCTTCACAACCGGTTCATACTCACCGCAGGTTTCAGCACATTGCAATCACATAATCTCCATTGGCAACCTTTCCCCAGAAAGGTTCCCTGCGGAAGCCAGCAGGGAAATTCTCAAGACGCTGAAGTAAATCTCCTCCAGCCCCTCTGCACTGGTATTGCACAGCCCCCCACGCTCACCCTCATGTCTCCCTTGGCATTCTTCTGACTTCTTGCATTCCTCCTCATGCCTGACCTGTGCCATACCTCTCAAGCACCCCCTTGTACCCCTTCCCTCATCTGCATGTCTTGCACATCCCTTTGCACCTGATTTGCACCCCACTTCTTATACACCTGACCTATGCTGAGCTGCTCACACATCCCCTTGCATCCTACCCCACATCCCATGCACTGCTGCCCCACCCAGCAGCAGCTACTTATCTGCTTGCCGGCCTGCCTGCCTGCCTAGGATTTACAACTTCTTGCTTACTTCCCCACTGACTTTGGTTGTGGGAAGCTGGCAACAAGTTGCCTTGCCTAAGCAAGGGATTCAGTTAACAATAGCAATAGCACTTAACAATTCGACTTAGACTTATATACCGCTTCACAGTGTTTTACAGCACTCTCTAAGCGGTTTTACAGAATCAGCATATTGCCCCCAACAATCTGGATCCTCATTTTACCCACCTCGGAAGGATGGAAGGCTGAGTCAACCTTGAACAGGTCAGGATCAAACTCCTGGCAATGAGCAGAGTCAGTCTGCATTCCAGCCACTGCGCCACTAGAGCTCTTGCAATAGCAACAGGATTGCAGGGATTGCTGTCACTAAGCGATACAGCCACAATTTACTATCACATCACTTAGTGATAGAAATTCCCATTGCGATTACTTCCATCAATCAAGTACCTCTATAGCCACAATACATTTTTATTCTTTTATTGTTACTTCAAAAATGCATAGCCATCCTTTAGAGCAAAAGCTTTCCATGAATTACTTAAACCTCTTAAAAAACCACAATCCAAATATTTCAGGTATAATTTCAGTTGTATACAAAATAGTAATACTCCACTGTGATAATTTCTAGCAGAGGCACAGAAAAGTATCTGATCCCAGGCATTTAGGGTTTATAACTGGTTGCCTCAACCACATGAAATGTGTTTCAACTGAATTCAAAACAGCTTTTTGAGCTCAAAAGACTTGCAACGTAGAAGTTGAAGCCTCCTGTTTCAAACAAGGGAATGTTGAAACTTGAAACATTCTGAATTCAAACCATTAGTAGCAAAAAGTAAAGCAGCATAAATAAAATAAATTAAAAGGCTCTATTGCAGCACAGCATATTAAATTATTAACATATGCCAGGATATGAGCCTTTATCCCACTTGGGAAATAGAAATCTTTGATGAGGAATCACTGAGCCAAATTATGCCAGAAACTATAAATGTCTTTAGTAATGTGTTTTGGATGGTCAGGAGAAATGTGCTTTTTCGGTTTTGTTTCTAGATTTGGAGAAATAAGGGGGTGTCGCATCATATCAAAATGGCAGGGAAACGCAGGTGCTGGACTTCTTTTAGCATGAAGCAGCAGGTCTTGAGTGACCAACCTCTCTCTCTAGGCTTCTCGGGAGGCTTGGGAGGCAATCAACATCTGCTCTACTTTAATGCTCCTTTTGCTATTATGATTTGAGATACCTAAGAAAGAATGTAAGCATCCAAGACACAGTTGTAACAAGGCTTAGTAAGCCTTAGTAAGACCACACCTAGAGTACTGCATCCAGTTTTGGTCACCACACTATAAAAAAGATGTTGAGACTCTAGAAAAAGTGCAGAGAAGAGCAACTAAGATGATTAGGGGACTGGAGGCTAAAACATATGATGTACAGTTGCAGGAACTGGGCATGGCTAATCTAATGAAGAGGAGGACCAGGGGAGACAGGAGAGCAGTCTTCCAATACTTGTGGGGCTGCCACGAGAGGAGGGGGTCAACCTGTTTTCCAAAGCACCCGAAGGCCAGACAAGGAAGAATGGATGAAAACTGACCAAGGAGAGATTCAACTTGGAAATAAGGAGAAATTTTCTGACAGTGAGAACCATCAACCCATGGAACAGAAGTTGCCTTCAGAAGTTGTGGGAGCTTCACCACTGGAGACTTTCAAGAAGAGATTGGACTGCCATTTGTCAGAAATGGTGTAGGGTCTCCTGCTTGGGCGGGGGGTTGGACTAGATGACCTACAAGATCCCTTCCAATTCTGTTAATCTGTTAAGATTATGGCAGTTCTTACAGAGGAAAATGAATTGTACGGCTCCTTTTGGAACGTTTCATGCAACTCAGCAGGAGTCGTTGAAACAAATTTCCAAGGATTTGTGGATGCTGTCCCTTTTAAGCAGCACTATGAACAGAATGCAGCATCTCAGAAATATTTATGCTGGCTACATGGGCCATCAGTGTATTTGCATCCAACTGCTAGGACTTAAGTGCTTCAGCATTTCCGTTAATCAAAACAATATTACAAATAGAACCTTTTTAGATTTGAAAATTACAGGACATTGATCGAATTTGGGCTCCTTGGCATTCTCCACCATCTCTTGCCTTCCAGAAAGTCTTCCTTGTTTGCCAAAGTGGCTTGGAAAATAGTATTGCCATGTGGACCCTATTATGAGTTTGTTGATTAGCTGGAATACAGCCACACTGGATTCTGTTCAACATGCAGTGATGCAAGATACATTTCTCAAAAACTTGTGCTGGAAGGACCATCATTGCTGTTTCTACCACCAGTTAATCCTGTTCTTCAAAGTTGCCTTACTGGAGTCCATGCTAAGAGCTGTCTGATCTACAAGGGATTCGGTCATTCTTATAGTTAGGAGCTAATTCTTATAGGAGCTTCATCACTGGAAGCTTTCAAGCAGAGACTGGACTGCCATCTCTCAAAAATAGTGTAGGGTCTCTTGCTTGGGAGGGGTTGGACTAGATGACCTACAAGGTCCCTTCCAACTCTATTAATCTAATCTAATCTAATAGTGAATGGGGAAGTATCTTCCATTGGAGGTTAAGCCATCTTACTCAACCAAGGGGTTTGTTTCAGAATTCATGATTATTATTAGTATAACTCCTACTTGTGCTTTTGTCAATTGCTCTAGTCATTGTTCGTTTTTTAAATCATTTTTCTCTGCCATTCTCCTCAATGTTGGGGGAGGGGGTGTCTGACATACACACAAAAGAGAAGGGCCTTCATTGATATAGTTATGGACATCGATTTGATTTTTTTGGTCTCTTACGTGGAATTGGAAATCAGTGGTCAGCTTTTGTGGAGAGAAAGGCTCAGGACAAAGATCCTGAGACCAACTTCTCAGAGGCTCTCCTGAGTTTCAGAGAAGGAGCTTCAT